AGCCCAACTTAGCTCCCTTTCTGCTGTTGCCCCAGGCTCCAACTCCTGGGCAGCAGGGTTTAGCCTCTTTCCAGTCATGACACATGTAACAGATGACATGCACATATGGGACAAGTTCTCTGGACATGCCAGAGCAGCATGCCACCTTCACTTCTGTATGCCACTTCCCTTGGTCATGCCACCCCATTCATACCAGCCCTCCAACCCCTGCCCTCCCCTTCAGGGAAGCACAGCTGAATGCAAGTTGGAGGAGAGGTCTTATTCTAGGCATAAGCTTGACTCTGAGCTAATTTGTCAAAAACCTGATTATTCTCCAGCTTGGGAATTTTATCTGTTTCTGGTAACAAATTATGAGGGACCCCTCACAGCTAACTGTGAGGAACCAAAGACCAATGGGGCACTGGGGTTGTTCCTTTTTCTCGGTCAGATGACCTTGGCTCATGGCCCAGGGTGCAGGCAGCCCAGTCAGGTGTGCTCAGGGCTTGGCAAGTTGTCTGATGGAAAGGGAAGGGAGACGTATTATCACCTAAGCCCCCTCCCTGACAGAGCTCCTATATCAAGAGAAGTTACCAGCCCAGAAGCCCCAATACTCACTGTGCCTGCTAGGATGAGGGTCTTTCAGGGCCAGGGGATGAGGAGTGAACCTCAGGGTGGAGTGTGAGTTGGAATGTCCAGAGGCCAGGAATGTGGCCCCACCCTCCTGGTTTACAGAGGAAGGAACTGATGCTCAGGGAGGGTGACGGTTGAGTGTCAACTGGATTGGTTGAAGGATGCAAAGTATTGTTTCTGGGTGTGTCTGGGAGGGTGTTGCCAAAGAATATTACCATTTGAGTCAGTGGACTGGGAGAGGCAGACCCACCCTCAATCTGGGTGGGTACCATCCAATCAGCTGCCAGCATGACTAGGATAAAGCAGTGGAAGAATATGGACGGAGGAGACTGGATGATCTTTAGGCCTTCATCTTTCTTCCTTGTTGGATGTTTCCTGCCCTTGAAAATTGGACTCCAATTTCTTCAGCTTTTGGACTCAGACTTACACCAGTGGTTTGCTGGGAGCTCTCAGGCCTTTGGCCACAAACTGAAGGCTGCACTGTTGGCCTCCCTACCTTTGAGGTTTTAGGACTTGAACACGCTTCCTTGCTCCTCAGCTTGCAGGCAGCCAGTTGTAGGACTTTACCTCGTGACTGTGTGAGTCAATACTCCTTAATAAACTCCCTTTCATATGTACATCTATCCTGTTAGTCCGTCCCTCTAGAGAACCCTGACTAATACAGAAAGGGTGAGGGGTGGTGTGGAGCCTGAACGCAGGCCTCCCTGGCTCCAAAGCTCTCCACTGCTCTGCCTTCCCCACCTCTCTCTGGCTGTAAGCTCCTGGAGGGATGAGACCAAGGCATTGTCATCTCTATCCATGGAGTCCTGCAAATAGCACATTCTCAATGAGGTTTGTTGAAAAAGACCATCTGGGTTCAAGTCCCAGTCCTGCCACTTACTAAGCTACAGGGGCTTTGGCAAGTTATGTAATCTTTTTTTTTTTTTTGAGACAGAGTCTTGCTGTCTCCCAGGCTGGAGTGCAGTGGCGCCATCTCAGCTCACTGTAAGCTCCGCCTCCTGGGTTCACACCATTCTCCTGCCTCAGCCTCCCGAGTAGCTGGGACTACAGGCGCCCGCTGGCATGCCCGGCTAATTTTTTGTATTTTTAGTAGAGACGGGGTTTCACCATGTTAGCCAGGATGGTCTCGATCTCCTGACCTCGTGATCCACCCGCCTCGGCCTCCCAAAGTGCTGGGATTACAGGTGTGAGCCACCACACCCGGCCTATGTAACCTTATGTAACCTCTCCAAGCCTCAGTTTCTTCATCTGTAAAATAATAAAAATAATAGTCCTACACGTATAGGCTTGCAGGTAGAACTAGATGACCTCACATAGGAATAATGCTAGAACAGTACCTGATGCAGGGTAAATACTGCGAAACGCTGGGCTCCATTATTATTATGGCCCCGCTTCAAGGATGCCTGGTGCAGGAAGGGGGGTGATCTGGTTTGACTCTGTGCCTGCCCCCAAATCTCATGTTGAATTGTAATCCCCAGTGTTGGGGGAGGGATCTCGTGGGAGGAGATTGGATTGTCGGGATGGATTTCCCCTTTGCTGTTCTCAAGACAGGGAGCAAGTTCTCATGAGATCTGGTTGTTTGGAAGTGTGTAGCACTTCCCGTTTTGCTCTTTCTCTCTCTCCTGCTCCCGCCATGTAAGACATGCTTCCTTCCCCCTCGCCTTCCTCCACAATCATAAGTTTCCTGAGGCCTCCCCAGAAGCAGAGGCCCGTACAGCTCACAGAACTGTGAGCTGATTAAACCTCTCTATGAAAGAAATCACCCAGTCTCAGGTATGTCTTTATAGCAGTGTGAGAACAGACTGATACAGGTGGGCAGACGTACCTGGTGCCTTGGATGGGTTTGTTGTTAACTGTTTGCCACTCAGATGACCCCACCTCTCGGGAGTAGATGTAATAACCCAGGAGCTCTGGGTCTTTCACGGGATCCCATGTCAGGGTGACAGAGGTCTGCGTGTCTCGGAAAGCTTGAACTTGAGCTGGAGGAGGGAGGGTAGCTAAAAAATAGAAACATGGGCTGAATGAGAGGGTTGAGTTACGTGGCTCTGACAGGCTGGGGAAGGGGAGGAGCATGGGGAGAAGCCAGAAGGAGCTCCCACAGCAATCAAGGTGCATGAATTCCTGACCTGCTGGGGACTTTGGGAACTCTTCCGTAGACCCAGAAGTGTATCCTAAAAGTCCTCTCTCCCCTTACCTCCGAGCATCTCTGCTTCCTCACTAAAGCACAAAAGCATACTCACTCATTCATCCTTACACACACACTCTCTCTCACTCAAAAGTCATGAAATCTGATAGCTTTCCTCAGTCCTTATCTTTAATCTCAGTTTTCTTTCCTTGAAACTTCTCTACCGATTTTCGTGGCTCCCTGAAACTAAGCTCCTTGAGGTAGGGGCTGCTGTAACTTGTTTAATGGATAGATGGATGGTTGGTTGAATGAATGGATGGATAGATGGTTGGTTGGATGGATGGATGGATGGATGGATGAATGGATGGATGGATGGACAGGTGGATACGTGGATGAATAGATGGATGGATGGATAGATGGATGGATGGATGGATGGATGGATGGATGGATGGATGGATGATGGATGGATGGATAGATTGATGGATGAATGGATGGATAGATGGATGGATGAATGGATGGATGAGTGGACAGGTGGATTCATGGATGAATAAATGGATAGATGAATGAATAGATGGATAGATGGACTGATGGATGGCAGGTGCATGATCTTCCTAGTTCTCGTTTTATTTCTAAATTCCTTACACATCCTTTGGTGGTTCTCTATTTTCTTTTGGCCCCCAAACATTGGACTCCTCCAAGCTTCTGTTCCTTGACCTGCTCCATTTTTTCTCCTCTCTTCTTATTCCTAAGGGTCCTGCCTATCCCAGGTCTTCACCCCTCACCTCTTTGAAGGTTTCACCTCTAGCTCTGCCCTCCCTTCCTTTCTGAATTATACCAGAGCCTTGCCTGCTACAATTTAAGTCTGGTTTATAGTCCAGAGACTGCCCACATCTGATGACAAACTGCTCACTGGCCAGGCCCCAAATCAAATCCAAATGTTCACCAGAATTAAAGAAAAACACCACTTGCTCACCAACTTGTTCATACGTGCTGTGTGTGCGTGTGTGTGTGCATGTGCATGTGTGTACTTTTTCCCTTCTAAATTATTGAAGCAGAACAAATCTAGAACTTTGAAATCTTCTCCAAATGGGACCTTCAGCAAACCAGGCTTTTCTTGCATAGGTGGCACTGTAGAAAGGTTCCTTAAAGGGCTGGTTGTGATGGCAGCTACAGAGAACCTTCAAATCTGATGAAAGGGTAAAGAATCTCAGAATCCAGAGGTCTCAGAGGTGGGAGCCCTGGGAAGCTGGGGTCAGGATGGAGTTGCAATTGGGAGACTCAGGAAGGAGCCAGAGAGGTAGGAGCAGTAACGAGGCCCTTTAAAACAATGGGTTTGGGCCAGGTGCCATGGCTCACGCCTGTAATCCCACCACTTTGGGAGGCCGAGACGGGCGGATCACGAGGTCAGGAGATCGAGATCATCATGGCTAACACGGTGAAATCCCATCTCTACTAAAAATACAAAAATTAGCTGGGTGCGGTGGCAGGCGCCTGTAGTCCCAGCTACTCGGGAGGCTGAAGCAGGAGAATGGCGTGAACCTGGGAGGCGGAGCTTGCAGTGAGTGGAGATCGCGCCACTGCATTCCAGCCTGGGCGACAGAGCGAGACTCCATCTCAAAAAAAAAAAAAAAAAAAAAAAAAAAAAACAACCAAAAAAACCCACAATGGGTTTGCCAGTTGAGGACAGCAAGGTGTGCAGCTTGGAAATGACTCTCCCAGGTCCCCCGTTATGCTGCAGATGAGCAGTGTCCTGCCTGGTAAGCCAGGGCTCGGGCGGGACAGCTCAACTCCCACCAGGCAGGGTGCCGGGGGTTGCTTGGGAGTGAGCTGCAGGATCTAGGGGCAGGCCAGAGACCTGTAGAATGGAGGGACCACTTGCTTGCACAGCTGCTGTGCAGGACCCGGCTGCACTCTGTAACCCATTCATTGCTGATCTGGAAAAAAGCAGAAGGCTGTCTCCCTCCATGAGCCTCCTGCCCAGAGAAATGTAATTTCTGATGTCTTAAAACTCCCCAGGCCTGAGGTCAAATTGCTTTTCAGCTTCATGATGGGTAGAAGGGAGCAGGGACAGGGAAGTGGGCAGGGCTTTATCCTTGCAGCTTCAGGTCTTGAGCCTGGCCTGGCCTGCCTCCTCCCCGACCCCCTGCATCACGAGGGTACCTGGTTGGCCCCGCAAGGCGATGGGCTCACTGGGCTCTGAGGGATCACTCAGGCCATACTGGTTCATTGCTCGCACTCTGAAGACATATGACTTCTTTTTCTCCAGGTCCAGAACGGCGAATCTCGGAGATTTTACAGGGCTTTCCGTGCTGATGGCCTCCCAGGTGCCACTACCTATGACTGACTGAAGAAATAGAGGAACTCACATTGGCTAAGCAGTTGCCCAGACCGGCTCTGTGCTGGTCACCTCCCATGATCTCTGTCCCCAGCCCATGTGCTTTCATGATCCTCTATACTCAGCCCAGGCTGCCCCTGAGCACGGAGCTCTGCCCCATCTGTCTCCTCGCCTCTCCACCTGGATACCTACCGAGACCTCACGTCCAGCCTGTCCACGATGCAGCTCCAGAGCTTCCCACACCTGCAGTGCATTGGTGGCCCCCATCCTTCCAGTCCCTGGGGTGAAACCCCTAGAGCCACCCTTGGCTCTTCCTCTTTTTGTCTCATGCCCTAAATGTGCTCCATCGACAAACCCAGTTGACTCACTCTTCAAAATTTACCCAGAACCCAGCCATGCTTTATCGCCCTCATGCTCCCCACCATAACCTTGATGCAGGCTGTCAGTACCTCGTGCCTGAATGATCTGAATAGCCTCTTGGCTGGTCTCCCTTCTGTTTCTATCTATAACCCCCTTCTGTCTTGTTCTCTGTTCCCTTCTACCAAGCCCCGTGTCTCCCTCAGAGCAAAAGCTTCCCCATGGCCTGACCCCTCGGTCTGTCTGGCCACCATTCCCTTTGCCCTTAGTCTCTGTGCCTCTCTGCTGTTCCCTAAGGGCCCAAGACCCACCTCTGTCCGGGCCTTCGCACTTGCTGGTCTCTCAGCCTGGAATGTTCTTCCCCCAGAAATCTCTTGGCTGGCTTCCTGTAGGCCTTTATTCAAAACCCACCTTCCTGGGGAGTGGGGAGGCCCTTCCAGCCACTCCATCTAAAAATGTCAGCAGCTCCTCTCCCCACACTTCAAGTTCCCCTCCCTGCTCGACGTCTTTCTCCTTAGCGCCTACCACTCACTATTGTGCGTAATATTCTACTGATTTACCCCGTTTATCATCGGCACTCCCTCCCCTGACTGCTGTGTCCCCAGGACCGAGAACAGCACTGGCACATGGCAGGTGCTCCATCTATGTTTCTGGGGCAAATGAATGAATGAAAGAATGAGTTCTCACAATAACACTGCAGGAAAGTGTTAATTTCTCTGCCGATGAGGGAAGTCAGGTTCAGAGAGTTTCGGTAACTTGGTCAAAAGTTCTGCATCTAATAACTGGTGGATATCGTATTTCACTTCACTCAGGTGTGGGTAGCTGCAAACCTGTTTACTCTCCACAGTGTCAGGGGCCCAGAAAGCAGCCAGAAACTCCAAGTCTCTGGGCAGATGAAGGGTGAAGAGCCCAGGGTGATACAGATGAAAGAGGCACCCAGAGATCGTTTCTGCTGAGTCTGGGCAAGAGAGCTAAGACCTAGAAGCACCAGAGGACCCACTGATTCCATCCTCTGTGGTCTTCCCCTCCCAAGCCCATCTGGCTGTCAGTGGCCTAGACCAGGTAGGACAAGAAATCACCATAAGAAACCATGAAGACTGCTGAGCTCCTACTGTGTGCCAGGCTCTATTCTAAATCTTTATGTGCGCTAATTAATTTGATCCTCACATTAACCCTACAAGCTGTGTATGATTATTATCATTTTATGGAAGAAGAAACAGGCGTATAGAGAAACTAAGTAACTTGCCCAAGGTCACACAGCTGGTAAGTAGCAGAGATAGGATTTGAACCCAAGCAGTCTGATGCCAACATCTCCACCATGATACCCTACCACCTCGCAAAACCAGTCCTCAATTATCTATAGCTTTCCTATGTCAGAGAAAAAGGACTACCCATGAGTGTGAAAAGAGAGGCCCGTTTGGATAACCAGAGCCAGAGATTCCTCCCTGGAAATTTTAAATGCATTTATTCCCTAAACCTTCTCTGTCCACCTAGTTTGTGCCAGGCATTGTGCTGGGCACAGAAAGTAGTGAGAAGACAAACTTAGTCTGTGACTTCAGGGAGATAGTCAAGAACACCTCCTTGGGAAGCACTGACAGATCCCGGGGACTGCAGGCTCTGGCTGCGGGCTGTGTTTTATTTCATCTTCACAGGGCACGTTCTCTATTCTATGCTGGAGGAAACTGAGGCTCAGAGAAGTTAGGACACTCACTCAGGATCACACAGCAGAAGGCAGGATTTGAACAGATTTTAACACCCATGCTGTCTTCTACTCCGCCATCCTGCCTCCCCTCCACTGTGAAGTCCACTCTACAAGACCTGCTGCATCCTCGCGGGGGTCTCCCCTGACCCCACTCGATCCCCAGTAAGAGCCACCTCCTAGTGCTAATCACTCTGTAGGCTCTGCAAGTGCTGCTGGTTCCTGTCCCTGGCTGGAGGGTACCAGTCTCATTTCCCTCCCAACATAGTCCCACCAAGAAGTGCTTGGCCCAGTGCGTGGTCTGATGCCAGCCGACCTGGGGGCAGGGAGGTACCCAGGAAGTGGTGGATCATATTGTCATTGTTGTCTGTGCCTTGTATTTTGTGTACTTCCATGAACAGCCTCAGGAACAACCAGCAGTGACTGGCCTCCCAGGGCTAGAGGTAGCCGCAAAAGGCTATTCAATCCATCCTCATGCCTCTGTGTGCGGCCATGCCTGGGCCCTTCCAGCCAGGGACTTCTTTTTTATTCTCTGACAGCCTCCCCAGGGGACACTGCCCAGGGTCCCACAGCACGCTGTTTCTCAGGCTGGCCTGGGGCTGGGGCCTCGGGGTCCCCTACCTTCTCCAGGGAGTATGTCAGTGGCGCTCTGCCCCGGGGCCTCGGCTCCTCCCAGGCCAGAACCACGTAGGCCTCTCGGATCTCGCTGGCGTGGACATTGGTTGGCGGTGAGGGGATGGTCACAGTATCTGGAATCAGAGTCACCCGGGGCCGAGATGGGTGGGCCTTCAGAGACCCCCTAATCTCAGTGCCTCATTCCATGGAGGAGGGAACTACATCTCCACCCATCCACAAGAGAGGGGTAGTAATTGGCTCCAGGTCACCCAGCAATACTGGCTAGGACTTTTCCCAACATGTTGCCTCCTCCAGGAGGGCCACAGCCAGATGGGCCACAGTGACCCCAGCACTCTGGCTGCCTCCGACTAGGCCCCACCTACCCTAATCCCCCACACCCTGCACAGGGACAGTTTCTGCCTTCTTGCCAGCTCACCTCCCAGAGTTTCCAGAACTATACAGAGTTTCTAGAACTCTACAGAGTTTCCAGAACTATAGAGTTTCCAGAACTATACAGATTCCAGAACTATACAGAGTTTCTAGAACTATACCGATTCCAGAACTATACAGAGTTTCCAGAACGATACAGAGTTTCCAGAACTATACAGAGTTTCCAGAACGATACAGATTCTGAACTACATAGGAGGGTCCCGCATACCTTCAAAATCGTCTGTGCTGATGGTGATCTTGTTTCCCAGACCAAAGGGGATCTCTAGGATGAGAAGGGAGCATGGGAGGGTGGGGGGTGGGACAGAAGGAGTTAGGCCAGGGCCTACCCCACACCAGGCTCTGCGTCCTGCCCTGACCCAGTCCTGGCCTTGCAGCCCTCGCTGTGCAACCTCAGACAGGTGCCCTCTGACCTCAGCTTTCTCAGGAGTCCCAAGTGGAGCCCTGCTGCTCTCAGGCCCTGGTAGACGCTCTTTCTCTTGGGACAAGTGGAGACAGAGAGGAGGAAGGAGGCGCCTGGGGCCAGGCACCCTGCCATGGTGGAACTTCTAGCCAAGTCAGCGTGGCTCCCGAGGGCTGAGAGGGCCGTGTCCCCACACTCGAGCTGAAGGACATCTGACAGGTGCTGGGGTGGGGTGCTCCCTCAGACTGGTCTCTCCCATGGATGGTTTGGTTTCGCCCATTAGACTAGTTGTATCTTCCTTCTCAGGTTAGGGGTTCCTAAGGACCGGATTGTGCCTCCTCCATCAGACTGGAAGTTCTCGAGGGCTGGCCTTTGTCTCCTTCGTCAGACTAGTGTTTACTGAGGGCTGGGCTGTGCTTCCTCCATCAGACTCGGGGTTCTCGAGGGCCGGATTGTCTCCTGTGTGAGGTAGTCCTGAGGGTTTCCTGACTGATGTTCTAGAAAGTCGCTTAGGACCTCTGTACCCACCTGTCTTCCTCCGGGCTGCATCATAGTCGCCCATGACAACCAACTCTGAGGCCTTGGAGGGGAGGCTGCTGCCCGCCTTGCTGATGGCTCTCACCCGGAACCGATAGCTCTGACCTTCGACGAGGCCTTGGATCGGGCACCGACAAGTCCCTCCGGGGGCCTCATGGCAGGGGACCCATTCCCCAGAGTCACCCTGGCACCTGTTGGAGACAGACCCCCCTTTCAGCCCCTGCCCACGCCGCACACCTTCCCAATGTGAGCCTCTACGAGGACTTTCCTTGTCTTTTTTTTTTTTTAGACGGAGTCTTGTTTTGTTGCCAGGCTGGAGTGCAGTGGCACCATCCCCGCTCACCACAACCTCCGTCTCCCGGGTTCAAGCAATCCTCATGCCTCAGCCTCCAGAGTATCTGGGATAACAGACGCACGCCACTACCACCTGGCTAATTTTCATATTTTTGTAGAGACAGGGATTCACCATGTTGGTCAGACTGGTCTCGAACTCCTGACATCTCGTGATCCACCCGCCTAGGCCTCCCAAAGTGCTGGGATTACAGGCATGAGCCACCGCGCCCGGCCTGAGGGCTTTTCTTTAACTGGGGGAGCCTGCCGAGCTCATCTCTACCAATTAAAGTTCTTCTCTCCAATAGAAGAGGCTGGTTCCAACTTCGGGTCCCCGGGAGACCTTTTCACCATCCCTGATGCTGACCAGCAGCAGTGCCTTTCATGGGGGATCATCGTGAGCCCACAGCTGTGCTGTGCCCTCCACACCCAGCCCTTGTTTCATCTCCCTGGAAGTCCTGGGGGCATGTGTGGTCACCTTCACTGTACACATGGAGGGTCTGTGGCTCAGAGAGTGACCAGACCTGCCCAAGGTCACACAGTTAGGATCCACCTGAGCTTGTCCCCTCCCTAAGTTGGCGTGCATTCCAGGTTGACCCTCCAAGCCTGGGCTCTCTGGACCCTCTTGGTACCATTGTCCCAGGCAGTGTGACAGTGCACATTACCCTTATTGTTACCAGCTGGTTGGGGTAGTCATAACATGTGGGTCCAAGTCTTGTCTCCACCACTAATGACAAATGTGTCTTTGAGCAAAGTCATCTCCCCACATACCTTGGTTTCCCTATCCACAGAAGGGGGCATTAGATAGTCCCCTTCTCTTTAGAGCGGGGTCGTTGTAAGGATGGAAAGAGATGAGGCGTGCCCCTAGCATGGTCATGAGCCCGTCTGTGGCAGCATTAGCTATTTCCTCAAGATGGGCCTTCAGAGCCGGCCACACAGGAAGGAGGCCGGAGGTTCTGGGCTGTCTACCTGTTTGCCTCCTCCTTTGGGATCAGTGCTATTCCATCTCTCTCTGTCATTCAGGAAGGAAAATAGCCCACGAATCCACTGTGCTCAGGGTTCAAGCACTCCCTGTTTTGCCCCTCCGGGTCAGCTCTAGAGGGTCCACAGGGCAGTAGCTGACTCCAGTGTAGAATTCCAGGTATCAGCGTGACAGAGACTTGGAGGCACGGATGCCCCTCCATTGCCCCTAAATGACACAGCACAGCCTGCCTCCTGTCCTGTTCTGAGGAGCGGGGCTGTGGGGTTTCTCTGAGGCCAGGCATGGGGCCTCCTCTTTGCTGTGGCTCCCACAACCAGACAGAATTCTAGCCCTAGGGCCTCTGCCACTCAAGAGGCCGACTCACCGCTCGATGGAGTAGGCAGTGATGGCGTTGCCCCGGGTGTCACTGGGCGGGGCCCAGGTCAGGATGAGGCAGTCTCTGTTCACATCCAGGCATCGGACGTTCAGCGGCGAGCCTGGGGCCCCGGGGTTCTCGGCTTCAGCATCTGAAACCCGCGGGTGAGACAGAGGCCCTTCTAGTCAGTGGCCATTTGGTGACAGGCCCTTCCCACTCCCATCCGGCATCCTCTTCTCATCCATCCTCCAGGGGCTCAGTTTTGATCTTGAGGACTGGGGCCTGAATATTAGTCCCCCCACCCCCATAGCAGTATCTGAGGGA